CTTCATACCATTTAAAAAATATGTAGGTGGCGTCCTCTACAAGTAGGAATTACATTAACATCAAAATCAATTTTCTCATCGCATAAAATTCCCAGGTACTAATTTTCATCCAAATATTGACGTTACTTCAGAAATTATTTTGAAAAAATCTAAAAAAAAGTGAAACTTCTACACCCTGTATCTCCGAAACTAAGCACTTTAGGACATACATTTATACGAACTTTTTACCTAATTTTTATTTGCAAAATGCGCTGCCGAAGTTTCCGGAATACAGTTTGAACCACCCTGTATATCCATTTTTGGCTAATTTTTAGCCGTTTTCGAGGCTCTTAGAAATCTATCGGGATCCACCAACTTTGAAAATATTTGCGTGCATTTAAGACTCACCCTGTATAATTTGAAACGAAATAAAAAGTGTCTTTTTATAATAGTAGTACCTCATTTTCCGAAAAAAAAATCTAAACCAAATTACACCAATTTTTCATTGATCGAATATTGACAAGGAACAAACCAGCTAGAAATAAATGTGTGTGGAAATCGTTCTTTTCCCCGGCACATTACTTAAAGTTGAGGGAAAATCTGGAAAAAAGCGAGTTTTCGGGGAAACTCTAACTCGACTCTCTCACACTTTCCACGATTGATTAGTAATAAATCCCATTTTGACAAATTGCCTTGGAAAGGAAAAAGGCCAGAAAAAACGATCTAGAAAACGTTCTTTCGATAAAGTTCGGTGACATAAAGAAATAAAGCCTTAAGCCTGGTCTACACGTAACGTTTTAACTGTCAGTTTTGCCTGTTTCTGGGGTCGAGATATACAGGGTGGTCCGAACTGTATTCCGCAAACTTCGGCAGCATATTCGGCAGATAAAAATAAGTAAAAAAAAGTTCGTATAAATGTATGTCCTAAAATGCTTGGTTTTCGAGATACAGGGTGTAGAAGTTTCATTTTTATTTTTTTTAAATAATTTCTGAAGTAACGTCAATATTTAGATCAAAATTGGAGTTTTTTAGCATGAGAAATTTGATTTTGATGTCAATACAACTCCTATTTATAGGGGGCGCCACCTACATGTGTTTTAACTGTTTTTAAGAGTAATAACTTTTCGTCCCTACCTGTATAAAACTACTGGGTGAAAAAATATACATTTCCGTGATTTTTTACGTAAAAAATATATCTTGGTAAAAATGGCCACGAGCAACCGTTCCCGAGATATTTAAACTGAAATAGTAAATTTGGGAACTTTTTACTTTTTTAAATTAATCATAAATTTTCCTTTCAAAAAATGATGATAAAAAAGTTTCTGTTGAACTTTTGACTCAAAAACATTTCAAATTTATGATTTCAGTTTAATAACTATTTAGTCAACATGTTTAATTTATGTCAATGATGACAGGTATTGATAATTTCGATTCCAAATATCTCGAGAACCATTACTCGTAGCGATTTTTACCAAGAGATCTTTTTTACGTAGCAAACGTCGTAAATGTACATTTTTGCATCCAGTAGTTCTATACAGGTACAGACAAAAAGTTATTACTCTTCAAACCAGTTAAAAAACATGTAAGTGGCGCCCTCTACAAGTAGGAGTCATATTGACATCAAAATCAAATTTCTCATGTCAAAAAACTCCCAGACACCATTTTTCATCCAAATATGGACGTTACTTTAGAAATTATTTGAAAAAAAAGAAAATAAAAATGAAACTTCTACACCCTGTATCTCCGAAACTAAAAGCATTTAAGGACATACATTTATACGAACTTTTTTACTTATTTTTATCTGCAGAATATACTGCCGAAGTTTCCGGAACACAGTTCGGACCACCCTGTATAGAGGGTGTTTGGAGAACAAACCGGGAAAAAACTCATAAATGTTTCTGAGATCGAAATATACTACCCCTAAAGTATTTGCACTTATTTAAGACGCACTCTGTATATAAATAACGTACGATCGAAAAAAAAACGGCGTCAAAGTTGGCTGGGGAATGATAATCGATGATAATTTTGGCGAGGTCACTCTCTACACGTCATTTACTAAAAATTGATATAAAACTAGCACGACTTATAGAAAGATTAAAATAGGATAGTACCGTTTCCAGACTCACAAATCTGTTTCCAAAAAAATATGTTTTCACAAATTTCCAACTACACCATTTAAATGTAACTCCGTAAATGACGTCTAGGACTTGACCTCGCCAAAATTATTATCGATTGTCATTCCCCAGCCGTCTTTGACACCGTTTTTTTTCGATCACACGTGACTACAATCTAACCAAAAATAAAAATTTATTATCATATATAAACCTAAAGCCATCTAAACTTACATTTCTAGCGTTTGTCATAGGAAACCACCCCTGAACTAATCCTGTCTTCCCGGTTTACCGCATAGAGTCCCCAGGGAACCCCGCGAAATGTCAAATTTGCGAAACCGGACGCTCCTGGACGCACCGAGACGCCTATCGTCGCGACGCCGGTGAATATACGACTGACGCCTGAGCTGCAGGTTTCGTTCGGTTCACCGTCACGCTCAATCAAGTGTCCGTACGCGGGTCCCAGAACGATACAAGAACCAAGAATTTCCAGTTTTTTTCCCGCCATATACAGGGTGGCGCCGCTCATACGAGGCAGATGCTCCAAGGAGAACGACAATGTGTACTGAAATGAAATTTTGTCACCACTATTTTTTAAGGAATAATGACATACAGGGTGGCCCATCGAAAACGTTCCGCAACACATAACGGCCAGGATATTTTTTTTTTCAAAAAATGCAAAAACACGTCAATTTTGTTTGTGAGGGGGACAACTTTTGCCCCAAAAATGATTGCAAAATCTTCAACCCTCTATCAATTTTCGATTTTCTATTTTTTCGATCAATTTTGACATATAGGTTGATTCTAGGGTGTAGAGGTTCGATAAGGAGGAATTTTTCGAAATTCCAGTTCCAAGGGGGTGAAACCACCTTTCAAATATTACAATATTTTTTATTTAAAAAACGGGCAAGTTTCCGAAAAAACGCTTAAACACGTATATTTTATTTTGTTTTTTTACAAATATTACGACTTTTTAAAAATGTATACAGGGTGTTTCATAAAATATGACCTTTGAGTAATCACGATTCTGCTTAACTGATTGACGCTTAAAGCTGATTTTTGGTTTGAACGAAGTCGCGGGTACACGCTAGTACTACCTAACCTAACCTAATCAAACATTTGCTAAAACGGTTTTAGCATAATTCTGTAGGCTAATTTAGAGCATTTTTAAAAATATATAGTGTTTTAAAAGGTATGGAACACCCTATACATATATTGATTGATTTTCAGATTCTAAGAAAAAGATAAATGTGAGTTTTATTAAAGAAGCATATGACTAAAATGCAAGGTTTTTGACATATTTTTAACATTTTCTAAAAATGAAGAAAAATTTTTAATGTCAATAAACGGCTACCAAAATTTTAATTTGCCTGGTATAGCCTAATATATGTAGTTAAAATAACTATTGGGCTTTAAATAAAATTAAAACTTGACCCAAAAAGCTATACAGGGTGAGACAAAATCAATATTAAACATTAATCACTTTTAAAAGCAAGTTACTATTTTATTTTAAGTGGAACACCCAGTATAATATTTACACCCAGTATAGTATAGTATTTTGAAGAGACATGAATTCTCCATTACATTGTGTTCCATTTAATTTAATAGGACTAACGTGCTTTTTAAAGTTACCAGTGTTAATATTAAGCTTGTCTCACCCTGTATAACTTTTCGGGTCAAGTATTAATTAATTTGTTTTCAACCATTTGCTATGGAATGGTTGTTATAACGACATAAATATTAAAATATACCTGATAAATACCAAATTAATGTGTGTATTCATTTATTTATTTAAACCTGATCCAACTAATCTAAACCTGATCCATATTACTCCATTAATTCACTTGAGAAAAACAGAGAAAATTAAAAAATACACCCTGTGTATATATTTGATTCAATAATTACGTTAATATGAGCGTTTTGTGAAGTGAATTTATAAAAATCTATCGTTATAGCACTAATTTACTATACAAAAAGTGACTTTCTAGAATCTAAAATATGCGACGTTATACTAACAGAAAAAATAGCATGAAAAAACTGTTAAAATGCATTAAAATTTAGCTAAAAACAATTAAATTCATTACCTTTTACATTATTCTGCAAAATTTCGCCGATTTTTGCACTTAAATTCACTAAAAACACTCAAAAACACTAAAAATACTCTCGCAAATTTACTAACTGTTAAAAAAATTAACAATAAACAAAAGCCTGTAAATTTGTTGAAAGATCACCGTGGTTGCCTTAGCAACCTGGTCACAGCACACCAAGATGCAACTTCTGCGGCACCAAGACGCGTATTATTGCCGGGAAAAATTGAAAACTTGAATTTTACAGCCGGACAGTTGATTTTTGTGATATCGTCTCAATGGTTTGATGGTTTTGATTATTTTGAATGATTGTATGAGTGTTCAGAGCGTAAAATTGTGTTTTTATTCAATAGGACTGCAATAAATAGATGTATTTTCTCTCAACATTTGAAAATAAAATTGTATTATGATGGTGTCGCCATCTATGTGATTTTATCAGAAGTATTATTACTATTTTTACGTTGGGACATCTATGAAAAACTATCCAAATCTTTAAGCAATTTTAAATTACTGATATCTGTAATTTTCTAAAGTCAGAGGATTAATAGCAAGAATCCTTTAATCTGTATACTTGGTTGCCTACCTGAAATTCTTACCAATCATTAAACAACAATATACACAATTTTCTGTAATTTTATTTCAGAAAAGACTTAAATGCAGAATATTGTATGACCCTATGACTGTATTGTCAATAATAAATTAATCAATACATTTACTTTATTGGTTTCTTCTAATATATCCATTAAAAATTAATTTATTATTGACACAGATGGCGCCATATCTAAAAGGTGAAGTGAAAAATTTCAGTACCAGGTGGCGACGCGTGACATTTGATCATTTTTCCAACTCGAAGCTTTTTTCCTGGTCATGCGTGCTGTATTTCCATTTCCAAGAGGATTTTAGCATCTTATCACAACAAGGAAAACGCAAATCGTGCTGTTTTAATAAAGTGCATTCGGCCATTGTGATTTTCCGGTGTTTTGTGCCGATATCTCCAGAAAAACCCAACCCACAGGTAAGCTTCCATTCATTGTCAACGTTCTTTTTGATTTCAACAACACAAGCATGTAGATTTCGTGTTATTTTAGTGTTTAAATCAAGAGAAATATCATACGTGCCTTAATCACAGGCTTTAGATCGTGATTAAACTATAAAATCGCGTTTTTTAATGAGAAAAATGATAGGAAGCCTGATCTAACCTCAAAATGCCATGACGCCGCTTTATATTTCTCTTTCTGCCGGCTTTTAGTACAATTCGAGGCTTCTTTTTGTCTATTTACGGGTATAATGGTTTGTTGCCAAGCAACTACGCTTTACGACAATAATTTTTAAAAGCATTTCGAGCTGATGAAATATTACAAAGCTAGGCAAGCTTTGTGAGTCGTGATCGACATTTTCTGATTGCTTTGAGGCACTCCAATCGATATGATCGTAGCTTTTTGTTTTTTCCTTTATTCTCACCCATTTCGAACATCGTGTTTTGAAATTTTAGAATAGATTTGTATCTGTTCTACCTGTGGAGTATAATACAACTCCTATATGTAACAATACAGTTAATTTTTTGTCAAAAAATACATTAGTTGTATTGATTATATTAGTTATTTCTCTTGGACAGTATGAATGTTAATTATTATGTACAAAATATGCTAATTTTTAGCTGTTTTTGATGTAGATTGATGATATATTTATCCAACATCTTTCTATGATTGATAAGAATAAGTAACATTATAACAAAACCATGACAAACTAAAAATCATTATTTTTCTAGAAAATGTCTCCTATATTCCTTATCTTTGATATTTCTGTTGTGCAATAAATAATGAAAATCGATATACCTAGGTATTATCTATTATAGGGTAAAATAATAAAAATGTATTAATGTATTGGTCAGCCAGTGATCACCAACAACAAAATTCTAAAATCCTTTATTCTCTTCTGTAGTTGAAGTTTAATATAGTAACCTTGATATAAATAAAACCATATTTTTCTGTTTTCCAGGTAGGTACATATTTATTGTAGGTATATCAATAAACTAATATTATTTTAATTATCTTTATAATATCTAATTATTTTATGGCTTCATAAAATTTAATGAATTTATCACGCCTACTACCGTATGATCGAAAAAAAAACGGGGTCCAATTGGCTTAGAAATGACTATCGATGACATTCTCTATAGGTATAATTTGGCTCAACTTTCGTTTAGCCGAAATCTGTTATATAAAAAAAAAAGGTTCTTTTGAATAAAAAAAAGAGTCCAATAGGTATTTGAGTTAATGTCTGTTTTTGATGTCCTATAGAATAGATTATTAATATTTTCGTTATTATTAATGTTTATTGTTGTTTTCTATGCCTTAAGTTTGTTTGGAAGTTATCGGGAATTTAATATTAAAAAGGGTTAATGTGGGACATTAAGTGGAAAAGGGAAAATAAAAGAAACTAGAGGTTGCCTAATGGCATTTTGATTAAATGTAAATGACGTAATTTTTTATTGATCATAAGGCGTTATCTGAAACGTATTATATCGAATAAAAATAAAAATAGTATACCTACCTATTGTTTTATTAGGAGTAAAAATGTTTACGTTTAACATTACAGGCTAGGCACAAAAAGTTATTTTTACTCCGAATAGAACATGCTATTTCTTTTTTCAAACGTCACTAATAATTTTTTAAACAATTTTAAACGTTCCAAATAATATAAAAGGATTTAAAATACCTTGTAACTAATTATATGTCGAGAAACTATGGTTACGCTCGTTGAATTTGACACTTTATGTTTGTTTAATAATATAATTTCGTACTTTTATACTTAAGCATTAAAATGACTTTTTTCCATAGCAACTGTTAAAATTGCCTTATATCTATCAAAAATACACACACCGGAAAAATCTAGGGATATCGTTTTATTAAAGTTAAAAATAAATGTTTTGAATAAACAACCACATATTTGTATAGGCCCATTCTTTCTACTTCGATTGAAACGAAGTAGTCACACTAGTTATTTCTAAATTTGGGATATTTGCAGAAGTGTTTGTGCATTTTTTGTCAAATGTATAAAAAGCACCTAGCATCAATTGTTCGAATTTAACCTGTACTGGCTGTTTTTATGATAACTGCCAGAATTCATTCAAATAACTCTGTTTAGTATTAAACGACATTATGGAGCGTAGACATCTTAACAGAGACGAAATGCTAAGGGCCATGGTTATGCTTGAAGCTGGAATGCGCCAAATCGACGTAGCTAGAGCATTAAATACAACGCAAAGTGTAATATCGCGATTAAGTGCACGCTACCGTGAAAGTGGTGATGTTGCTGAAAGGCACACAAGGCGACATCGCATTACTACCCCTCAGCAAGATCATTTTTTACAATTAAATGCTCGACGCCGACCGACTCTTACAGCACCAGAGCTTAGTTTAATTCTCCAGGAAACACATAATGTAACCGTTAGTCCTGACACTATTCGCAATAGATTAAGAGAGGTCAACTTAAGCAGCAGACGCCCCTGGAGAGCTCAACCCTTAACGAGAGGAAATCGAGAGGTACGATATTTGTGGGCTCAACATCATGTTCAGTGGTCGAATGAACAATGGGCCAATGTTCTCTTCACGGATGAGTCACGCTTTGGAATTCATCCGGATTTGAGAAGGCTTAGGGTATGGAGAGAACCGGGAAATCTTATTCGGTTGGATCATGTTCAGGAAGTGCATCCTTATCAAGGTGGAACAGTTATGGTCTGGGGAGGAGTCCAGTTAGGCCGAAAAACCGATCTCGTTTTTCTTGAAAGGTTTCTAACAGGAATCACATATCGTGATTTAATTCTTGAGCCTGTCGTGTTACCATATATGCCAATGATTTTGGGAGAAACTTCATTCTCATGCATGACAATGCACGGCACGGCCTCATACAGCCAGAGTGGTAAGTGAGTTTATCAATGCTCATCAATTAAACATCTTACCCTGGCCGGCACAATCTCCTGACCTCAACCCCATCGAGCACGTATGGGACGCGATCCAAAGAAGAATTTTGAGAATGGGTATGCCTCGTGAAACTTGTAGGGATCTGGTTCGGGCCGTGAATGCAGTGTGGCAGACTGTACTTCAAGAAGAGATCGACAACCTGATCAGGAGCATGGAGAGACGATGTAGGGCTGTAATGAACAGTAGAGGAGGCCATACCCTTTATTAAGTAAAAATGGTTTTATCTTTTTTTTTTAATTCACAGTTTAGAACTAAAAAAAATGTGTGTATTTTTTTCAGTTCAATAAAAATCAAGGTAAATTTGAAAAATTCGGTAAATTTCGCATTTTTATTTCCAATACGTCCTGTAACTGGCTGGATAAAATTGTAATATCCCTAGACTTTTCCGGTGTGTGTAGTAGATAAAATAGTACTTTAGCCGCAATGGTAGATTAAATGATACTTTAACAGCGAGGATAGGTTAAAAACTTTATTTCTTCTCGCACGTTTTTTAATTGCTTCCATTTTTGAAAATTTCTCTTTTGAAAAAGAGAATTAAAAAATATTGACTCAAAACTGACAACTACAGAGACGGCTTTATTTATTTGTCAAATCACATAGAAACCAACGCCAACCCAGCACAATATTTTTTTCTACTCGTAATAAATTCCTTGAAATAATAATTTCTGAATATTTTTTAAAACGTAACTCGCTATGGAAAAAATATTGTATTTTAACAATAAAATGGTATTTTATCGTCTTGTATAAAAAATAACTATTTTATGTCGTCAATCACGTCGCAAAAATTAATACTTTTGTGACGTTTGAAAAAAAATTACGTACTAGATTTTAACGCAATTTTAAACTTATTTTCCGTTTTTTTTTTGGTAGAATTTTCTGCATTTTGTTTATTTTTAACAGAGCGGGTATACATCGAAAGTTCTAGAGGCATTTTTAATTGAATACGTGAATACGGAAAGTTGGATTAGTTCAGGAACTGTGTAACTTTCAGCTACGTTGAGTATTTTCAACAGTTTTCCGTTGTTTTTTCTGCCTACTATTGTAAAGGGGTTTTAAACAAAAATATCCTCTCGATCCTTGATAGTGTCAGGTACTTTTTGTTTGGATTTAGTTTGTTTATTATCTTCATTTTTTTGTTCTCGTGGTAGTTACGGGGTGTTTGTTACGTTTCGGAGTTACGGGGTGTTTTTCAAAAATATGCATTTTTAACAAATTGCTGTAACTTTTTTTGCTATGGAAAATTTGGTATTTTTATGAAAACGTTTCCAAAACGCCTTTTTACGTAGAATTTAATGGTTTAAGTATAATTTTTTTAAAATTAATAATTTAAGAATTATCAACAGAAAATTTGATTTTTTATATGGGACACCCTGTGTATTTTTAATTTATTAAAAAGATTTAAAATTACCTTACCAAAAATATAACACACGATTCCTCTTCGAGTTATAGAGTATATAAAAATTCAACCACTTTAAATAAGTAGGCTTTGAACGGCACAGGCTGTAATGCAAAAAAAAATTCTAGCTGTGAGCATCAATTAAGACGAAAATAATATTTGCTATGAGAGATGCAGAATTTTATAACAACTTAAAATAGGTATATTTAACCAACATCAACACATTTAAACTATATCTAATAACAATAAAAATAAATAGCAAACCAAGACATGAGATTTTGCTACCCTTTTCTATCGATAGACGGGGCAGTTTTTGAACATTTCTCGCGGAATTCATTAACTCAGTAGGGGTGAAAGATACCCTCTCATAACTGCTAAGTATTTCTAATTCTTGTTTCTTGTCTAGATTATACGGAAGAATAAGGAACCTTTATTCTTCCGCAAATATTTCCATAGGATTAGATCTATGGGCACTAAATCAGGCGGCCTCGACGGCTGGGATCTTGGTTACCAATTCTTGAAATTGGCTGCAAAATTTTGCTGATCACTTCAGCGTTCTGAGGCGGTGCGTCGTCTTGCTGGAAAAATATGTTTTCGAGTTCCATTAGGGGCATATCATCAATAAGGGGTCCAAAG